TTCCGTTGTCTTATAAATCCATCTGGACTTGTAGCACTGAAAAATAAATCTATCTTCACTTTGTAAATTAACATAAGAGCAACCTGATGATGGATGAAATGACAAAGGAAGAAGTTTCATTCTCAGAAACTAAACCATACCAAAACCTTACCCAACACTGCTGTTTGCACTGGAGAACACAACACAAGCAGTCCCAAGTGCAGCACGTGACTGATGACATTTGTTTGCGTTCTAGAAACTGAAATAAAATACTGCAAACTATAAAGCCTTAATATTACCAATTGTGTGAACATGTGCAAAACTATTTATTTCTAAATCAGCCGTAGATGAAAACAAAGTCTGCATCAACTGTACCTACGGAGATGGACCTGAAGTGGAGGCCACTGAGAGTTACTTATCAATGCTGAGGCTGCCAGAGTGGGGCTTACCCTAAAACTATCAGGTTTTTTTTCACTCTCTTGCTTGCACACATATTTTCCTTCATCTCCTTTTTCCTTCTTCAGTGGGACTGAAAAAATTCTTCAAGCTTCTGTACTGTTCTCTGACACAGGCAAGAGAGTTTCAAGAGAAGGGCGAGATCTTTCCCTACAGCGAAGTTCCCCAACACAGCACATGATCTAAATAAGGACAAGACAATGTAAGACATTTTAACACTGCTACTTCACCTTATACCCAGAGACTGCATTTTTGCCTGTTGTTAAGGGGCTAGAAAGGTTAGGAGACTGTGTTCACTCTTCTCTCAAGAGTATCTCGGCTCAGAGGCAGACTCTCCCAGCTCTGCACATTAGTCACTCTTAAATACAGTGATCCTGGTACCTTTGGAAACCACAAAAAACAAGAACTGGTGGTACAGAATCATATAATCACTTCACTACTTAGAATTACAGAATCGTTAAAGTAGGAAAAGACCTCTAAGCTCATCTAATCCAACCATCAACCCCTCGCTACCACGCCCACTAAACCAAGTCCTAAGTGCCATGGAAGCATCTTCAGTTATCCTTTGCAACAAGATTCTGGGTGAGATAGATCTTAGGCTCAGGTTTGAAACCCAGAAGAGTAGCAGCCCAGCCTCACAAACCTTCCTGTAATATCTAGAGGAGATGAGCATCGTAAATTCCCCTAAGAGCTCTGAATGCTATCACGTTACTGCAAGCAACAGGAACTGATACTTGGCTATATTTGACAGGCCTTTTATATGTAAATACTGTCAAAAACTGCTTCTCCCAATTTTTTTTTTTTTCAGTTTTGTTAGACATTACTATAGTTAAACAGTTTAAAATCAATGTTTTAAGTGCAATTTTAAAGTTATGTGTGACTAATGCAGTAAGTTTGAGATATTATTTTTCTTTCAGTTAAGCTGAACAGAGGAATACTTCTTTTCATTGGGCAACCCAGCAGCACTCAATGCAATGCTGCTCACCTATCTATAGTCCGTAAGGCCAAATCCCTAATAAGTAATGCACCACGAGGCAGACTGACAACTACAGCTAAACAACAAATTTTCTCCTTCAAAAGTGCATCGGTGGGTATTCATGTTTTTTCACTGCTGCTGAGTATTTGATCAATGTGGGCAATTTCAAAAGCATTGTTTAATTGGTCTTTCTTTTGCTTACTACCGAGGTTTTCAGAAGTTTTGCAGCCTGTATTAAAATGAAATGCAGAAATTGTCACACGTAATGTCTGTCCACACATTCACATTACTTCCCTTTTCATTTATGTCTCTATAAAAGTTAAATAAGGCACCTGCTTACAGAAATTTCTACGTATTTTTAGCTACCGTTGACTGCCTTCTGAATTGGTAAAAATGCAACGATGAGGCAGTGCTACGTGATGAGTGTAATACTGAGAACTCTCACATGAGTACCATTTTACCACGTGAACTTCTAAAAAACATTAAGTTACTAGGCCTGGTTTTCTGCATTGATGAGACCTCCCTCACCAGTGTTGTGCCACCATCGTTCCTGCTCCGCAAAAACCTTTAAAGCTTGAGCCAAATATAACAACAATTTCTGCATTTCTGAGTGCAGCTCCTTTTAAACATTCAAAAGAACTCTTTCCGTTTTGCATCTCAATCAAACTTTCACACATGCCACCAGAAACATGAATCACACTAGTGCTATTTCAGGGAACAAGTACAGCCAGTGGCAGGGGAAGCATGCCATCCACTAGATCATGCAACTATACAGGTAATCACAAGGTCATGCTGCAAATAGGTCATTTACTAAGTGCAAACCCATTCTTTTTCTTTTTAAAAAACATCAATGTCCTGATAGCAAACCGGTGCGTGACTTCTGTGCTTATAAGAACCTCCAAAAATGTTCCACTACTCAGGCCTTAGTTTGTATTACACATATGAAGTCATACACAATGCAGCACGTAATTTGGCCTGATAAACGTAAGAAAAGGCTAAGAATTCATTAATGTAATCTTACTGTTGAAACATGGCTAATCCCAAGTGTTCAGAACACAAAAGTCAGGACCTACAAAAGAATTATGATTTCAAAAGCACTGCAGTTTTGAAATCAAGTGGGAGCATGTTCACATATTTATTTTTTACTTCTCCTTCAGCTGCTTTCAGGGTTTTCCTGCTTCATGTTTCATACTACATTGCTCAACTGAAAAACTTTCAACTATGAAGTGTTTTTAATTTGGGGCCCAGATGATCCTAAAATGTATTGATTTCAATAGTTGGACCTCTGCGAAGAACAGCACATACTGGAAAATTACTATAATTATAGATAATATTTAAGAAAATGTTTAAGTGATTTACTTGATTATTTAAGATTGTGTTAATGGAGCCCATTTTTTCAACTATTCTACTTCCTGAGAAATAATAACTGAAAAATAAGATGAGGAAGGCATACAACACATTCAGGAGGGAAGTATCTATTAAATAAACAAATTACAAAGTTTATTCTTTCCAATGCAAAAGCATTATTTATTTATTTATGCAAGATTATCCAAAACAAGCCTGCAAGGAAGGGCAGTTAACTCCTCTAACTGTAGTGGAAATTTTGTACAAGCGTGCAGAAGTAGACCATAACATTGCACATTTGCTTTTCCTCTGCTCTACTGTTTAGCATTTAATTTCATGTATTAAATTCTTTAATCAGTGATTTAATAAGCTACCACAGAAGACTAGCCACTTACTACAAAGCAGCAGCATCTTTAAAAACTAGCTAGCACAATCATATGAAATAAAGAGTTCTAAAATATTGTTTGGTAAGAAGGGGTAGGACTAATCCCTTGCTGAGCCTCTTGTTAACCTCTTCCTAAAAGGTGCATTTGTCACAGCAAGCTGTGCAAACAGCGAAGCCTTCTGACTAAGGTACGCAGTTAACTTCAACACTTTAATACATCTTATTAAAAACAGTTGAGATGAACGTCACTAAAATGTACCACAGGACTTCTAACCTCTTCTTCTCTACCACATGTTCATTGTGTAATTCTTGTATTTATTTCCAGACTACACCTACATTAATGCACCACTGCTGCCTGCAGTCTTCAGAGTGATTTTAGTCTCTCCTCCAGCCCACTTAATAGGCCGCACTTTCTAAAAACACACACATGTATACACTGGCATATACACACAAATTAACTATGCTAGCTTCAGTTTCTAAAAATTTATGTTTAACCACTTAACATTAATAGCACACACCTAGTGATACTAGTTACTCTAATCAAACCGTAATGTTGCCACAGTTCATGAGCAGCACAAGCAAAAATGAAAATGGAAATGAGCAAGAGTAATTCACCCACCAGAAAGCCAATGCAGTCAGTGGCACGCTGACAAGAGCAATTGTAGCCTGCACTCTGGATAGGAACAGTTGGTCAGACAGGTGATAAGCACTGAATTTAATACTAAAGATTCAGGGGAAAAGCTTGAAACTGCAACACAGGACACTGCTATCAGGATAGAAAATTTAACGCAGTGATACTTGGAAAACAACAAAACCCAAAAAAACCAACAAACGACGACAAACCCAATCACCACTATTGAACAGTGACAGTTCAATTACTGGACCTACACTATCTGCAAGAACGCTGCTTCCATGCACACCACTTACACACTAAAATTCACTGTACAAATTAACTTTTATGAACAGTCAATGATAGCACAGGTTTTATTTTACAATTTAAAGTAATTCAAATTGCATTGACAGCTACTATACAGATAAACAAAAGAATATTAAAAACAAATAGCAACAGAAGCTCCGCTGCTTTTTCCCTTTCAACCATCTGATATTTAATAGACAACAAGCTATATTTCCTAATTCTTAACCAGAAATGTATTTTGGTACATTAATAATTATCACATTAACGATGAAATACATCAGCTCCTTTATTCAGGCATCATTAAATGCATGCATATTAAGGCAAGTAAGTCAGGAAAAAAACCCTTAATTCATAAGCCCTTTCTCTACCTCCAAACAGAAGGGAGCTCCTGACAGAATAAAAATAGCAAGACAGGCGATGCAACGCAGCCTCGTCACATGGATCTCCATCATTTCAGCGACATGCTGAAGAACCGAGCCACAGAAACCCAGCCGCGTTAATGTAAAACAGCAATTATTACCGAACCGGCATCACAAGAGCCCCATACAGACATTCTGTACCTGGGTGCTGGATAGTGTTACTTGAAGCATCAGCCTAATAGCCGGTTTATTCATAAGGCACGCACTAAAATGAAACAAACAGTAATTAAGTGCTGACGGTGACCTAGTTAGCTCGGCGCGGCGCTGGATCGCCCTGTCACTCATTGCAGGCTCGCCGCGATCCGCCAGCAGCGCTCCCTCCGCCCGGGCCCCGCGCGGGGAGCAGCGCCTCACGCCCCGGAGCCCCGCACTCCCGCCGCCCGCTCCCGCCGCCCTCGGTAGCAGCGCCCCGGCTGCCGCCCCCGCAAGAGCCGCCGCCTCGCCTCGCTTCCCCTCCCCCGCGCCGCCGCTCTGCGCTGGGACGAGGCCGCCTCTGACGCGCTTGCTGCTCGCGTCCCCCTTCACCTCCCTCTCCTCCCTCCCCCAACGCGCACGCTGTATAGAAAATCTCCTCTCGGCGGCGGGAGGGCGGTGAAATCCTTCGCTCTCCTCCCTCCGCTCTCCGTAACGCAAGCGAGCCGCCGCCTTCTGTTCCTCAGCCTCGGCCAAGTCGGCGTTTTGTTGACAGGCTCTGCCGGGCACAAAATGGGGCTGCCGCTTCCATGGGCGCCGCCATTTTGTGAGGAGCCGCAGCGCTGGCTACGACCGCAGCTTCAGTACCGGCGGCGGCGGCGATCCGAGCGCGGCGCGGCGGTGGCGGCCGGGGTCTGCTCAATGGTTGAATAGAGTGACCCCCTCCAGGGAATCCCCAGCTGACGGTTACGTAAGGGACCGTGCGCAATTGCCGCGCTCCGCATGGCAGCCCACATAGCCCTGCTACGCAACGCGCCCGTCCGCCCGCCGCCGAGCGGGGCGAGGAGCGCCACTCACCTCCGCCGCCGCCCCTCGCCGAGGGGACCCCGTGGCTGCAGGAAGGCACGGCCAGCAACCGCCCCTCCTGAAGGCAGGGTGCGCTGCGTGCGTCTGAGAGAGCGGTTTGGACCTTCGGTCGCTTGTTTGTCTTCAATCTCTCTGGCTTTAGGAGTCTCGCTGCTGAAATAGCAGAAACTCAGAGTGCCACAGACGGGGGTGCGGAGCAGGAGCTGCTGCAGGTGTAATTTGGGGGTGTCTCCTAACACACAGCAAGTAGAGGCTGCATTTCTTACACTGGCATTCAGGCAGCACCTCTCCATCCACACAGAGGCCCATTTTCAATATTTATTAATTTGAAACGGATATTTCTTTCCTAGATCTCTGACACCCCAACAAGTGTGACCCAAGGGCAGACCTTCAGCAAGCGCCTGGCTGCATGTCTCTATGCTTACGTTCAAGCTGAAACAGCACTCGAGGAAAAAAAACCTTCCTAAAAAAAATTTTTATATGTATGTGTGTGTGTTTTATTTTCTGAAGTTAGTATATGGAATAGAAGGGAATTACAGTTTGCCGTAAGCACGCCCTTGGGGCCACAATGTGCCCCACAGCCCCTGACTAACAAGGAGTTCTGCTCGAGGACGAGGCAAGGCCCCACCTGGCCCTGGGTCTCAGCGCTGGCTGTGAGGTAGGAGTGCTCCTCCAGAGCCCCACCTGCAGCTCAGGTACCGGCAGGGAGGCACGGAGGCCCACTTGGGGCCCCTCGGCTTCACCGTCGGATGTTTGGGGCTGAAGGCCCCGCAGGCCCCTCTCGCCCCAGCTGCCCGGCCTGGCCACAGGTACCGTCCTGCGCTCCTAGGCGCTGGATGCACGTGACGAGGGAAATATTTACAAATACCGCACCACCATATGTGGAGAAGAAGGTGGGCTGCCGCTTATGGCTAACGCCTGGCTGGGGTGAGGGCCGCGTCCTTCCTTCTTCAGTAACGTTTTGCTTCTGCGTTCTTTTCAACATATGGACACAGCAACGTGTCTCGGATGGAGTGGAGCGGCCCTAAAGCTGTCCGATTACAGGGCACGGTATCTCGAGAAGAAAAAATAGGCGTTTGTGGGGCCCGGCGGAGCCCCGGCCCTGCCGCAGTCCTCCGGGGCGGCCCCGGCTCCGCGCCTCCCTCGGGGCACTGCGGGCCCCCCGGCCCTGAGCGGGGCTCCCGCCGCCCCCACCGCACGGCGCTCCCCACCCCCACGCCATCCGGGGAGATTTCCTGTCCTTGGGAACACCTCGGGCCGGGGGACTCCAAACTTTTCCGAAAGTCAAAATCCGGCAGTGCCCCCTTCCGTCGCCGTCGCCTCTCCCCTCGAACTCGGGGCGCTCGGCTCGGCCCCATTACCCGGCCCGGCGCTCCGAGCCCACCTCTCCCGCCCTCCCCCCGGAGCGGGGAGCGGCCGCTCGAGCGAGCCCGGCGCGGCGGGCGCGTTTCCCGGCCCTCGCCCTGGAACAACCGGTAGTAGCCGTTTTTTTTTTTTTTTTCCTCCCCTCTCGTCCCTCTCCCTCTTCTCTTTCCGCCCGGCTTTGTGTGAAGTTTGCGGCACATTGCAGATGAGCCCTTAGCGGCGAGAGGAGCCTATTGTTCCCCGCCAGGAACTGCTTGCTGGGGCTGCGCTGGCTTTTGCCTTCGGAGCTGCCTCGTGCAGTACCGGGAGCGGCCTCCGGGCTCCGCTGTGTTGCGCTCTCGTCCAGGCAGAAGCACGGCGGCCTCAGATCTTTTTGTCTGAGAGAGAAGAGAAGTGAATCCCGTTGCCGCCGCCGCCGCCGCCGCCGTAGCCGTGCAGTGTGTGTGTGCGAGAGGAGGGAGCGAGCGAGGGAGAGGGCGACCGCGCGGAGCCGCGTCTGTAACACACACACACTGTCAGTACCTCACTCCGGCTCCCCCCACCCCGCCACAACAGTAACCCAATTCATTGTGTGATCCAGCAGCACCATGTTGAGTCTCATGTGCAGGCTGGATCGGCTGGGTTCGCGGTGCTGAGAGCGGCAGCGGGAGGAGGAATCGCGGAGCGTGCCCCTCTCGCTCCCGTCTCTGTGCCCGCGCGCTGTGTGGAGGCAGGACTCGCGGTTACCGCACTCGCGGGGCTCCCTTATTCCTTTTAAACTTTTTTTCAAGCAAGCCCCTCTCCATGGCCGATCCCCGGCCGAGCACGGGCACCTGGGTCTCTTAAAGGCGAGGAGGAGCCGGGGATTGTTGTTGTTGTCGTCGGCCGTTTTTTTTTTTTTTTTTTTAAAATTGGTTTTAATTTTTTTTTTTTTTTTTTTACGGGGACCTTTTTTTTTTTTTTTTAATACAAAAATGGCAAATTCGACGGGTAAAAACCACGCAGACCAGCGGAGAAAGGGACTCGCTTTCCTGGACGAGCTGCGGCAGTTTCACCACAGCAGAGGGTGAGGAAAATGGGGAGATGGCACGGGAGGGGGGGAGGCTTTAACCGAGCAGATCCAACTTCCAGCCCCTTCCCTGAAGGACACGGCGGCCCCGGCGAGGGGAGAAGAGGGGGCAGAGCTGACAAGTGGCGGTGTTTTGTGTGGATCTCCTTTGGCAGGTCTCCTTTTAAGAAGATCCCTGTGGTGGGTGGGAAGGAGCTGGATCTTCACGCTCTCTACACCAGAGTCACCACTTTAGGCGGATTTGGGAAGGTGAGTGGAAGTTTTAATTTGGGTTTCCCTCCCGCTAACCTCTTCCCAAAAGTCTCCTCTGACCCCCGGGGGCGGCGGGGGGAGCCGGGGTGCCGGGAACCGGCCTATTTCCAAAGGGTTAGGGAAGGTGGGGGGTGGAAGGAGGAAGCAGGCAGGCAGGTTGGTGGCTCGGCCTTGTCGGCGGAGCGATGCGGGGGGATCGGGGTACGGCGTCCCCCCGCCCCGGCCTCGCCCCGGCCCCGTTCCCTGCCCAACCCCCCCTTCCCCCCCCCGGCCCCGGGGGAAGGCGAGGGGGGAGCGGGGCCGTGAGGGGCAGTTTGTTTCGCTTGTGATTGCGGCTCTGCCCGCCTCTCTCTCAGGCAGACGAAGAGAGGAGAGAGTCTGAGCGCAGTTTTAGTGCAACTCAAAATTAGCGGGCATGTTTAACATCGATAATCGGCACGGAGCATGGGCTAGGAACCGAGCCTCGCGGCCGGGGGGGGCCGGGCGCTGCCCTGCGAGCTCTTCCCGGGGAAAAATAACAAAAGGGGCACCCGAGACGGTGTGTAATCAAATAGCCATCTTTAGGCTTCGAGGCTGGGGACAGAGATGTAGGCCTCAAAAGAAAGGCCTCTCCGTGGCTGTGGATTCGGCCCGGGGGGACCCGCCGGGGGGACCCCGCGGCCCAGGGGGCGCCCCTCCCGCACCGCCCCGCATTGTGGGCAACTCGTGCGGGTTTTAACGGACCGCGGCAGGATTTAAAAGGGGGCGACAGAGGGAGCGGCGATTGGTTATTGTCCAGGCAGGAGAAACAACAACAAACAGACCCCAGAACGGCCGAACCCTCCTGCTCGACCCCGCGACGTGAAAAATAAAAATCGGGGCTGTGGAGGGGGAGGAGGTGGGGGAGAAATGCTGGGGAGAAGCGGGGGGATTCCCGGGGGGAAACGCTAGGAAAGGCTGTCAGCAGGAAATGCGGCCCCAACCCCACACGCGTTCCTGTTTATTTATTTCAGTATATTTATCCGTTCGCTCCGTGGCAGCCCCCTGTTTCGGTGGGCTCTGTGGAGCGGTGCTGGGGGCACGGTGTGCATCGGGCCTGTGTTGTTCTGACAGGTCTCTGAGAAGAACCAGTGGGGTGAGATCGTGGAGGAGTTCAACTTTCCCAGAAGTTGTTCTAATGCTGCCTTCGCTTTAAAACAGTATTACTTGCGGTGAGTGCTACCAAGCTGTTGCTGTGGTATTTGTGAGTGTGGGGTTGTCTTTGGTTTTTGTTGCGTGCAATAACAAAAGTACCCCCGCTCTTTAAAAATGCTGTAACGTAGACCTGAAAATATGTCCAATTCCTTGTTTGTCTGGTGCAGTGGTCGGTTAAAGGTAATTATGTTTTGCAGCTATTTTATTTGCATTTTACATCTGCAAACCTTAAACTTCGAAGAGATCCTCAGTATATAAACGGAGTACGTGGGAGACATTTCTGCTGATCGTTTCTGAACGGTGGTACTAAAGGACAGTTACTGAGGGATCCTGTTATTGCAGTTACAGAAACTTACTTTAATTTTTGAAGCGCTGAAATGTGTTCCTGTATGTGAAGTTGTTTATAGCTCAGTGGGGCCAGGCAATGAGTGAAAATACATCAGCAGGAAGACAGACTGCTTGGGATAAATTGTATTGTTATCAATTACTAGCAGCGTTCATTAGGCTTTATTTTAGAGTACAAAAGATAAATATTAATTTTTTTTTTCTCTTACTGGAAAAATAATAGATTGCTGCAGCTTTTAAAAATAAGGTTACCTTCCTTGAAATCATACAGATGATTTTTTATGAGGCAGATTATTTTTTAATGTAGCGTGGAGTTAATGTTGAATATTTTAAATTACTGTGTGTGGTGCTGTTCAGTTACTGGATTTTTTTTTTTTTTTTTTTTTAAGAATTAATTTTGATTAACTTGGTGGTTATTTTTTATGTGAAGGATTTTGAAACTATTGCATGTATAGTGTCTCTAGGTGCTTTGTAGAAACATCTATTTAATTTAGAATCAAGTTTTATGCACACTGGTTAAGGAATGTAGTTTTATGTTTCTGCACTGTATAGACGGTATATTTAATTGCAGTTAAAGATAAGATAGATGAGTGATATGTAGGAAAGATGTATGGGCTTTTGGATTTCTGTTTTGGTGATCTGAGTACACACAAGCTTTATCTGTCTTCAGTTTGGCCTTCTGAATTAGGAAACGCAGTAATTGTACAGGTGCACTTTCTATTGGTTGTCCTAGATTGACTTCCAGCTTGAAGCTGTAGAGTTCAGAGCACAGTAGAGCAGTTATTGAGTTACAATGATGCCTGGAAAACCTTAGTCAGATAGCTGTAGTTACTGAATTTTTCTTTTTTGTTGGTGTTGACATATGATTGCTTTAAGATCCAGACCGAGGAAATAAATGGCTATGGTTAATAGCTTTAGCAAAGTTTAGGATTGCTGCTAGGCCTAGGAATGAAGTGGGAAGCTCACTTTAGGCTGTCCTGTTTATTTTCTTTCTCTAATACATAATATTATGGTAGCGTTGCTAAAGAGTTACTGAATCATTGAGAATAGTTACTGCTTTTTGAATTCCTCTGTTGGACCATGTAGTAATCTATTACCTGACAATGTTTTGCATATAGTTTGCAAAATGATAAGGGTTTTTTTTTTTTTTTTTTTTTTTTTTTTTTTTTTTAATATATTGCTTTTAATTTCATATGATAGAAGCTCAAAAGCCTAACTTTTTGCACTGAAATGTCATGGTTGTATGTCATTTGTGCTTTCATATGTATTTTGGAAGCATTTATATGCTGTGAGAGTTAA